ATGCCCAACTTGCTCCAGCTTTTCCGTAATGCTGTGATCAAAAATCTTGAAAGCATGCCAGGGTCTGAAGTTTTGGAACGATTCAATGATCTCATGCTAAATCAACAGCCAATGTTTTGATATTCGTTAAAAGTAGAAACAAGGATAACACGTTATCAAAAACAACGACATGGTTTGGTTGCCTAACAGCTGTGAATCAAAGCCTGAACTGGCACAGGAACTGTTGGCTAAGCTGGTGAACATAAATCCAGGAACTGTTGAGTTTATGGTATAGATATATTATATCTATAGTTAATGGGTTATAAACCAACAAACAAAACTGGGAAAAAACCTTGTATACTTGGACGGTTTGATTTAATCCCCACTTCTAGATTACATTATATATATATAACACATGTCTGAAATCCTTAGGGAAAATACAACAATTTTGGTGGTTAAAGCTGCCATTAGAATACATGGTGCAATGTGGGTCTGCCCCGCCTAGTTATATGCTGGTTGATAAACCCATGTGGACAAATCTACGATAAAGCTTTCCGAAAATCATCGTAAACCAAACTAAAACAGATTGATCCACATTCATTTTAATAGGATGTTTCATTAGAAACCATCTATTTTGGGGTACCATTTATGGAAACCCACATACAGATTGATCGCCTAGTGATGAAACCAACATCAACTAAGCTACACAGCAACTTACCTCGAAAACAAACAGCTCGCCACCGGAAGGGGCTCCTTCCGGGCGAGGCGAGCATGCTCCAGCTTTCTCTGAAGGGCGACGACCTCCTGGATGGAATCATGGTGGTATATGGTGAGTACATACACAAGGTGAAATATATGGTGAGAATGTGTGAATATTATTTGATAAACATGAAATAAGTAATGCTTCCATCCATGATAATATATCAAGTAATGCTAAATATGTGTTTTACTGATAGTAATGATATATGCATACTGATTAGTCCTACATTCCAAAACATATGATGGCCATTCAACACTTTAACAACAAAAAATGATGGTATGAAACCAACATAAACCAACCATACCTCGGGCATGATTGAAACTGACAGCTGGCCCTCAGAACTTAGCAGCTGGCCCTTGCGCTTTATCATCCAGTGCTCCGGCCATTTACCAGTTTCACATGGTTAGACATGGGGGTATCATTCCTGGTTGGTGCTTGAGCCAGCCCTCTGAAAAATGATGGAGTGAAAGTCAATGGGAAGGATGACATCCCATGTATAGTTGGTTATTTAAGATGGTTACTGCAAGATAACTGGTTATTGCACATATTTTTGGAAACCACCAACCAAGCCACCAACCAGATATTGTGGAAAATAAAATTCAAGTTCCAAACCACCAACCAGATTCCATAAAGGTGATGACTTATACCGGACCTATACCGGATTTTTTCGGGCCACAACTGTATGGAATATCCCCAATTCATCAAGTATATAAGTGAATTATACACCTCGTGACCACTCACAATAGGGCATTCAATGCCCAACTTAGTGATGGTTGACTCCAAACATGGACCCTAAACGGTTCGGGGTCTTCAACATGTTCATCCATACTTGGAAGCGCAGTTCCAAATATAATTATATATAATAATAATATATATTAATATGTGTATATATATATAATTATATATTAATATGTATATGTATATATATATAATTATATATATATATCTTTATCTACAGTATAGGGCTCACATATCCCAACAAACATGAAGTTTAAACTCCCATGGTTGTACCCTCAACTGCACCCCAACAGCCGATTTGGGGATCCCAGATCTACATCCAGATGCACCGTGGCAGCCGTGGCACCTGCTCCTTTTCGTGCAGCTGCCTTCGCTTGGCACCCAGCTCATTCTCCGCCTGCACGCTGGGGATCTTTGGACATTTACAGTCCATGTGTAGCCATGTGTAGCCTCGGCAACAAAATGGAAACAAACCGCAAACCACTTTTGGGGGAGAAATCACTAGTAAGCTCACATGGGGTCAATAAACCAGTATGTATGTTTGTTGGGAACCATAGGTTGTTAGCTCGCTATACCAAACTTTACCCACTTTTGTTGGGAGAAATTCTGTTGACCTTGACCAATCGCAAGGTTAGTCTTAGTCAATTCCGAGCAGGATGAATCCAAGCCAGAAATCACGAGATCTGACTATACAAAGGTACATAGTACAGACAAATATGAAAACAAAACTGTTATAATAAGGCAAAGAAACAAATAACACCGATTATGATGACGATATATGAAATTAGACATTAAAAACCCACATGCCATATACGTGACACAAACCAACAAAACAAATATACAAATGTTGGTTAAAAAGCTATTGTTTCCCATGTTTGATGGTTCAACCATGCTGAAACCCCGATGTTTGATTATAAATTATAAACCCACCATGTTCGACTACAGATTCATTGTTCAAGCCTTTATCATAAGATACCCATGCTGGCTATCCAAGCTATCAGCCAATGTAAATTCCAAATGAACCGTGTTCAAAAGCCTCTGTCGTCCCATTCTACTACATGGCTCATAGGGATGTCCATAGCGGATTACACACAACCTTACTAATCTATATGGAATATGGTGACACATGATGACTATCAACTTCGCAATTCCTCATGAACCCAACACATATGATCTTCAAAATAACTGCTACGATCATTTCATATCAATCCCCCAGTCATCACCATTTTTGTAGGTGGTATAAACCTATAAACCATTCCCAGTCATGGGTGGTAAATATGACATTGTTTTACCCATATTGTATATCCAAATCCCATGAACATCACCATTTTTGTTGGTTAAATCCCACATGTTGTGGTTAAAATAGCCAGTTGTTTCCTACTTTTCATGGTTACACCACCATTCTTCACCATATTTCACCATTTTTCATGGTCAAGCCACCATTTTTCATGGTGAAATGCCCATACAAATCCCATAAAATCATATAAAATCCCATTATATAAAACCACCATTTTTGTTGGTTAAATCTCATTAAAACCACCATTTTTCGTCCCATGGTTTCCCACAGTGGTTGCATCGCCGCCTCCAGGGTGCGCCGATGTGCCTCCCGACGGTCCGCGGCCAGCTCCTGAGCGCCAGGTTGGCGAAGTTGGGGGATAGATAGTTGGATCAACTAGGGCTTATGCTATAAATACATTGTATATAAATGATCTGTGTATAACTAAAAAAATGTGTATAAATAGATCTGAAAAAAATGTGTATAAATCTGTGTATAACTATAAATAGATCATAAATGTGTATAACTAAAAAAAAACTTGTGAAAATATCTTTAAATAGCTTTAGATGGTATAAACCAAGTACTATAGATTATCGTAGCAATTGCTAGCCCGACGGTGTATGGATTAAACACATTAAGAATCACAAACAACTTCTGCCAAATGGAACAGATATGCCGGTCCCTTTCCCCAACGATGGTGAATCTTGGATACCTGCTAAAAAAATGCTCAAAAACAGAAACATTTTACCACGGATCGCAAAAAATAAAAAAGTACGCAAGATTGCGCAAGTATCTAACCAAGGTTAACCCAGTAACACTCGCGGCTTCAACGCATCATCTCTGGTTGGTGGTATACCTACCCCTCTGAAAAATGAATAAAATTAACATGATGGAGTTTGTCAGTTAGGATTATGACATATTATGACATTCCCAACTGAATGGGACAAACACTTCCAAACCACCAACCAGATCACCATAATATTCCCATTGTTCTTGGTTTATAGCCTATTAACTACTATTAACCATCACTCTGGGTAAATTATAATATTTCACTAACCTGAATAGTTCGGCCATTTTGGGATGATTCCCCTTACTAACTATGATTCCAGTGAGGGAGAACAGTGAGGTCGTTATAATTTACCGAGATCACTATTAATATGACACATCCAACGTGGTCAGCCGCTCCTCGATCTTTTTGGACAGGTCCTCGATCTTCCGGTCCTGTTGGGTTACCCCCTGCCGCAGCTTCACGTAAAAGGTGGTTGATGGGTTCCACTGCTGGTTCCGTCATTTTTGTTGATGTTTTTTGGTGAAAAGGTTGGATAATCTAAGTCGAATCTAAGTTTTGATATGATTTACGTGTTGATATTTTTTGGGAAATCACCCGTTTGTGAACAAAGCTTGTTCGTAAATCCGTCGTGGGACCGTGGGTATTGGTTTCAACCATGTTCGTTCGTGGTTTCAACCCATCCCAAAGAATATGTTCGTCATTGGAGGATCATCATGCCGTGCTGAAAAGAGAGGTCTGGGGATACAACTTTCTATGACTTTAAAAATTAAATAGTAACTAGTAGTGGAATTCTTCAAAGGACAGACCAATGTGAACCACATTGCTCAATGAAAAATCGGGGGGGTTCTCAGTCCCTGGAGTGATTGTTTTGTCTCGTTGGCCAAGGAGGCATGGTGGTTTACATGACCTGGTCTTTCAGGGACCCTGGTGTTCTCTCTCAAAAAGCCAGCTCCTTGGCAGTCAAAGCAAGTTGAAGCCTCGGGCATTGCTTTTTTGGAAGGAGTGGATGGGGATATCAATCGGGAAAACAATGGACATGTTCACAATCTCGTTGCCACAAGAATCGGGAGTCCCTGGGTGATCCACTTCCAAAACGTTCGTCAAAACACAGGATCAATATCTTGCTAGAGATGGCTTTGATGGTGGGTTTGAGAAACCAACCAAAGCTGTTGACAAACCAAATAGTGACAGGTTTACCATGGTTTACCATCTGTTGAAACCCTTTCTTCTTCCATATCTATGTGGCTACCTGAAACCAGAATAATCTTGTAGCCTTGTACTTTTTTGATCTACAAAAAGGAGGTCAACTCTTTGTCCATCCAAGATGAGGATTGCAGGATGTATTGCAGGGCTTCTTAATAACACCACAAAGGTCCAAGGTCTCGACTCTTTGGCTTCCTTGGACTTTTGCCTCAATTCATCACCTCAAATTGGGAAAAATGACACAACTATGACAGTCAATAGATGCTATCTTCAAGCTGCAGCTTGCTGTCTTCTCTCTCCATCACTTTTTTGCCACACACCAAACCATAGAAGAAGCATGAAGAAGCACCGACAACTGTAGCTATAGCACTTTCTCCACTCAGCCCCGCACGTACCATGTCCAACTTGGACGCCAAGCGCAGATCTCTCTGCCTCCGGTCCTCACAGCCCGGTGCCACCGCAGGCCCTGGCGTCCAGCCCCCAGGTGTGGCTGCCTTTTTGGGCGTGGGCTGCGTGGCCGGCGTGGACCAGGTCCGGGGGCTGCCACAGCGGGCCGACAGCGGCACCCGGTTCTCCTTCTCGTCGCGGCCGCGCGCAGGGGTCGGGGTGCGGGTGAAGGGAGGGGACAGGGGGGAGAGGTTGCTCTCCAACTTCTCCTCCTCCGCGCTTTCTGACCTTGGGAATGGCTTGGAGCTGCTGTTGTTTGAGGATCTTGGAAATTGGGCACTGCGAAAAAAGTCCAAGTGACAGGTTGAGTTCAACATCGCAACATATCGCAACTACCAATTTCAGCTGCCCATGAATCAGTGAATCCATGTGAATCCCCATGTCCACCAATGCGACGCCAAGGTACCACCGTTCCGAGACCTCCAGAATAGCGCCCTTGCCATCCACGGCGGAGGGCAGATGATAGGCTCCGGGGCCCGGGGTGGGGTCTTCGATCAAGCGATCCTTCTCAAAGCGTTCGGCGCTCTGTTTGCTGAACATGTTCTTCCAGGCCCTACCAGCGGCGCAAAGGGAGTGTCTTTTTGTATGAAAAGATTTGGGATGATTTGGGAAAAAAAGCAAACTGCCTTGGAAATGGCTGGAATCTCCAAGAACATCACTTTGAAATTATGATGTCGGCAGGATTCTGAAGAGCTTAACAAATCAGAGGGTGGAGGGTGAAGCAGAGATACATTGAGACAGTGAACTGTCAACCAAAACGTGAGGCTCCTGGGAGCAGTGAAATTCACGAGCCGCAGCGCTGGTCAAGGGTTAAGTTGGCTGGTTTCGAAATCGCTACACTGACCAGTGGCTGTGGGATCTTGCAGGAAAACAATAGCTGAGGCATGCTGGCACGGAATCATGTGATACGTTTTCCACTATTCCTGACCTCTAGTGATATAGTGTAAAAAAACATGTGTCAGGGTTGTCAGGCTAGCTGGTCTGTTATGTTCATCCTATGTCAATCTGTTGCATTGTCTTCACAATCTTTGAGCCCCAAGCTACTGCAAAGGCTGTCTCGGAAGTACAGTATCTCGGCGACCGGTGCTGTGATCTGACTCCTCTTGGTGGAAGGAGCAACAACGGACTGTTCAAGTTTTGGACTCAACGATTTTCACCGAATCCGAAATGACCCATGCAAACATATTATAATTATATGTAAATAAACTGCTTATTCTATATTGGGTGTGCCCAAAATGAGGCATAGCAAGAAAACAACAGTTTAAATGGGAACAATAAAAGATACACCATTGGATTTGTTAGGGTGTCAACGGGCGCGCTCGTCTCGGAAATTCATCTGTTCCAACCGTTCATATTAAAAACCCCAGAAACCGTGGTGGAACATAGGGGGTGAAACCACGTATTTTGGACATGTTCAGACCATGGAATGAGGGTGTTTGATTTGCTGTTTAATATGAATGGGGGATAGAAATAAATATATGACTAAACAATAACATTAATCAATCTTCTATCCACAAGCAATTTACCGCCTTGCGATCTATCCTGGCACTGGACAATTTCCAAATTCATATCCATTTACTATGAGTCCAACATGGGGTAGCAGTGAACCACAACATAAACTGTAATGTTTACTGTCAAAACATCTATCTATTGTTTGGGGATGATGATTTAAATTCAAACTCTAACCGATATTTAACTCCTGGTTTCTGGACGCGTGGGACACACTCCCATTTTGCAAGTTCCATGATGAATTGCCAAAGGATCACAGCATCTTCCCCATGTTTATCTCATTGGTGGTTTCAACCATCTTGAAACATATGAGTTCGTCAGGTTGGATCATGTTGGATCCATCATCCCAACTATTGAGGAAATCAAAAATCGTCCAAACCACCAACCAGTTATGTTTGTTGGTTAAAGCAAAACAACATGTTCTGGTCAACGCCCCCCTTTCTGACGACCGTTTTCAAAGGGGTTCCCGGGCATCCTTCACCACCCGTGCGAAGTCCAACACTTCATGGGAATACCGACTTAGCTACCAGCTAACATTAATCACATACATCAAACGATCCTGGTTGGCTAAATCTTGATGCCTGATCTCTAATCACAATTGTTTGACACTTAAATCCCACATTTTCTGGTTCAAATAGCCAGTTGTTTCCTACGTTTCATGGTTAAACGCTTAAACCACCATTTTTCACCATATTTCACCATTTTTCATGGTCAAACCACCATTTTTCACCATATTTCACCATTTTTCATGGTTTCACCATTTTTCACGGTGAAATGACCGCGTTGCGGTTGTTGAAAAAGGTCGCGACCACACCTTCTGGGCCGCCTCGACCTCGATGGGTCCAATGGCCATGTGCACCTGCACCAATTTGGGATGGTGGAAACCCTATAAATAATGGGATGTTTACCATCTATCAACTGGTAATTCCATTTTGTTGATGCTTTTTAGTGAACAAGTTGGGGAATCTAAGTTTTGATTTGATCTATATACCCTCTGGTAAACTTTCACCTGACTATGGAAAGATCCACCATTTTCAATGGGGAAATCCACTATTTCGACTGGGTCATTTTCAATAGCGAACTGTGAAATGGCTTACTGGTGCGAAACGCAGGGAGTGGATGGGAATGGGGGAATGGGATTATCATTGATAGTTATCGTGGATCATTCCCGAAAATTCCCTACAAAGCACAAGTAAGATAATGGGATGTTTACCATCTATCAACTGGTGCTTCGGATTTCGCTGGCCCGTCCACAGTATTTCTTTACTTTTTGTATGTATGTACAAGTGTTTGAAAAATAGGGCACCATTGGCACCATGTTTTCTGTTTACACCATGTTTGTAAGGGTCTTTACTATAAGCAAGTGTTTTTACTACGTTTTACACTGATTTTGGTGATTTTGGGGAATTTTACTATTTATAGACGTTTTACTAAGTGTTTTCGTAATACGTATGTTTTACACTGGGGAATTTATTATATATATGTATATATATATATATACTGTATATATATATATTATATGTGCATCATTGTGCATCACACTTAGTAAATGGTTTAAGCTGTTTACAATCCCATATAAAAGTGGGAAATTAAAGGGTAGTAATTGTATTGTTTTTATTACTATCCCATGGCTATCCCAGTATTATCCCAGTGTTATCACTATCATTAAACAGTTAATACCACAAATGTTACTACAGTAATTATAATCTTTTACTATTTTTTGATTATACCGTTATTATCCGTATCAAAACCTTTTCCAGAAAATGTAGAACACAAACGGTCGGTCAGACATTCTTGATCTTTTGAAGACCTATGGAGGTATCATTCAAATGCCCGGTAAATCCAATAATGTGGGGAAAAATTACTTTACTTCGTGTGATCCCCACCATGACATTTATACATATTCTTACTGGCACATCTTCTGGCATTCTATCTGACATATCTTCTGACATTCTATTCTGGCATTCTATCTGGCATATCTTCTGGCATATCTTCTGGCATTCATCTCTATCTGACATATCTTCTGACATTCTATTTGGCATTCTATCTGGCATATCTTCTGGCATATCTTCTGGCATTCTATCTGGCAAATCTTCTGGCATTCTATCTGGCATATCTTCTGGCATTCTATCTGACATATCTTCTGGCATTCTATCTGGCATTCTATCTGGCATATCTTCTGGCATATATTCTGACATATTTCTGGCATTCTATCTGGCATTCTATCTGGCATTCTATCTGGCATTCTATCTGGAATTCTTCTGGCATATCTATCTGGCATATCTTCTGGCATTCTACCTGGCAAATCTTCTGGCACTCTATCTGACATTTTATCTTCCTACATGAGGTCCGGCAGGGAACACTTGGCGTGGATACTCGCGGTTGAGGTCCGGCAGGGAACACTGGGCGTGGCTGGTCGTGGTTGAGGTCCGGCAGGGAACACTGGGCGTGGCTGGTCGTGGTTGAGGTCCGGCAGGGAACACTGGGCGTGGATGGTCGTGGTTGAGGTCCGGCAGAGAACACTGTGGATCGCGGGTCGCAGTTGGACGAGGACGACGAGGACGACGAGGACGACGAGGACGACGAGGACGACAAGGATGACAAGGAGGACGAGGAGGAGGAGGAGAGGAGGACGAGGCAGGAGGAGGCGGAGGAGGAGGAGCAGGAGGAGGAGGAGGAGGCAACTGACATAAAATCTAACAACCCTCACCTGGCAGGTGGGGAACAATGTCATAAATCACCCATTTTGGGAATGGTAACCAGACCACCTATAAACATGGTGATAAATTTGGGGGATGCTTTATGACATACTTACTTTTTTCCCACAAGGTGGTGCCCCCCCCAGTTATAAATTGGTTGTAATCCCATTAATTATAGATATATCACCAACAAAAACCATAGTGACATTGGAGTTATGTGAACCCCAACTTAGCGATTCCGAACTGGGGCACCACCTTGCACATTATATAACTATAGATAATATATCAATTATAGATAATATATCACCTATTATATATTATATATAATATATCACCTATAAACCATAGCTATTTTCGTTGCTTAACGATGCATTAAAGCGCCATCTTTTTCTCTCCGACAGGTCATGGCGTCGAAGTCGTACTGGACGCCCGTGAGGCGTTCGGAAGCCTGGCGTTGGGGCGCCGAGGTTTGGTGTTGGGTTTTGGTATGGGTTTGTTTTGGGATATTATGGGAATATGATGGTTTAATACCATATTAAAATATCAATATCCATGATATTGTAACATATTGTAACATATTGTAACATGATTATACAATATATTAATGGATTTTATATTTAATTAATGGGAAATGATATATGATTTCATGGGGATATGATGTAATGGGGATCATCAAATCAATCATACCACCAATGGTGAGATTGATAGGGATTGATGGGGATTAGGCCCCGAAATCGTGGGGGGAAATCGACCGAATCCACCCATGGGAAGTGGGAAGTGCAGTTGCGCAGTTGTGCCACTCATCCCAGCAAGCTGCTGGCAGAATTTGGTTAAAAATGGTTAAAATCCCAAGTATAGTTCTTAGAAAATAGTAGAGATGGAGCTGGAAAAATGGCGAAACACATTTGAAATGCATTTTTCAATATTTTTAAAACATCTTAGATCCATGGCCAATCTTATCCCATTGATACCAAAAGACTAGTTAGGATTAGTTTGTACCCATCCAAGATTCACCCAGGATCACATGATTTTTGCTTCTCCGGCATCGCTGGACTGGTCAAACACATCGGAGCTGAGCATCTCAGTTTGCAGCAGCTTTCAAATTTCAATTGTTCTGCTGCATAGGCTATGGAAAAAAGGCGATGTTGTCCATTTCCTACTCCTGGGATCTGTTGTGCATCAGGCCGCCCACTTACCTGTCACAGGGATCAGATTCAACCTGGCAAAATGCTTCAGCAGACCCACAGCTGTTGCCAAATCTTGCCGAACACCTTCAACTGCTGGACAGTTGGAAGTCACACCGTGGAAGTAGTTTGGCTGTCCAACCCCCCCCCGTTGGAACAAATCCATCAGTCTCTGATCACCCTGGGGACGCAGGCCCAAGTCAAACCTGGGAGGCGTGCTCTTCATGGTCTGTGTCCTGGCCTTCAGATCCATCATCTTGGCCTAAATGATCCTTCAAGAAAACATCCCTGTCCCTGCAGTATCTCCTTGGATGTGTCAAAGGACCACCAAAAAACTGATAGATCGATTGCAGCTTCAACACCCCAAACAGAACAAACATGCCTTCACATCTAAGCCAGTGTTGAACAAAACCACGACGTATCTCCAATTTCAAAGCATCATAGATCTACTCCAAACATTAATACATTAATTGCAACCTTCCCAGCCCCTATCTCCCCCATCCAAAAAAAATCCAACTCACCAACTCACCAGGTCACTGAAATTCCTCCCGTTGCCTCTGTCGCTCCGCCCTTCGTTCCGCTTCCTCCTGTTCCCAGCGCTGCCACTGCGCCGCCTCCCGCTGCCGCTCCGCGGCCGAGATCGCCACGGCCTCCGCGGCTTCCCCGTGGCGCCACGGCGTCGCGGCCGTGCCGTCGCCGGCTTCGAGGTGGTCCCAGCAACGGGGGTCCGGCGGGGCCTCGGAGGGCTGCCAGGAGGAGAGCCAGGGAGGCCATGGGACCAGGTGAGGCTTGGAGACCTTGCGAAGGTCCTGGGAGAACATACCCTATATGGATCCCTATGGAGCTTTGGATTTGGGATATTTGAAGAACAAGAAATTAAATGCTTCCTCTGTAAGTAAGGTCTTGAGCCATTCTCGTTTGCGCGCATGGTGAAATCGAAGCTAGAAGTCTTTGTACCCTTACAAGTATGCACATTGTATCCACATAAAATGATTGGATTACCATCTAAGGATGACGTCATCTAATACATTTGTTTTAATCAGGGCAATCCCATTATCATATATAAATTATATAAATATATAATTATATATCAGTCATATCGCTTCTTTAGTTAGTTATTTGTTTACTCACTTTGGCTACTCATCCCATATAAAGTGGTGCCCCAGTTCGTTAGCTAAGTTGGTGAACATAACTCCAAGCTCTTTTAGTTTATGGTAGATATACCATGATATACCTATCCTTTTATGGGGGTTATAACATGTTATAAACCAACGTTCACATTATTGGTACCACCACCTTATAGAATCCATCTGGTTGGTGGTTGAGCCACCCCTCTGAAAAATCATGGAGTTCGTCAGGATGATCAAATTCCCAACTGAATGGAACAACAAATATTCCAAAGCACCAACCAGCCATGGTCCTTGTACCAGCATTTCATCTCCTCCGCATCCGCATCGAACTTCACCCGAAAGGATCCGTCGTGCGGCTTCGCGTCGCTGGGAACCCGCGAGACGCGACAGGGGCGCCACAAACCCTCCCGCTGACACTCCGCCAGGTCGCCCAGGAAGTACTGTGTCCTTGGTGAAAAATGCTGATTTCACCGGCAAAAATTGTGAATGGTGATTTCACGAGCACAAATGGTGATTCAACATGATTTAGCCAGCAGAAATGCTGATTTCACCAGCAAAAATGGTGATTTAACTGGTTTCACCAAGACAACATCTGTTTGTAGCAATAAAAGGACAAACCAACCAAACAAAATATGTAATGTTTCAAACATGGCGATTTGACACTCGATAGAGTCTTGCGATCTCCCTTCAGAACTGTTGCTTTCTACCAAAAAATGCCACCAAATGCCACCAAAAACATGTGTAACTGAATTAACCCAAAATGTAATTGTTTAACTGTAATTGTTATTGTTTAACCACTAAAGTCTTTAGATGTAATTGTTTAACCCAACTGAATGCTGGGACACTTTTTGGGAGTCCTTTCCGGTCACATCTTTCCGACCAGCTGCTCTTGTCGACCGCCTTGAAACCATGTCCCAGCCACGTCCCAGGCATGCTTATGTCGCAGTTTGGCGGGTAACTTCAAAGGTCGTAACTTGGAGAAAGGTCGACATTTTACCACTTTGACAGCTGCCATGGCTATCCCACGCATGGCCATCCGGATGGCCCCAGCTACAACCTGGCTGTCAATGCAAGCTCTCAAGAACCACTGTGATCACTGGTAGATGATGGTCTGCATGTTCACCAATCATTTTCAAATGGAAAGGACTGCAGTCTATCTACAGAAGATGCAAGCCGAGGCACAGCAGGAAGAAATGAAGCATTTGGATGAGCCATTCAATGTGGTTTCAGCCTTCAAATAGATTAGGGTATATGTTTGACTGCTGGAATTTCGTCCGCCTTTCAGGATTCTGCACCATGATCATAATACACTAATTAAGTAATCAATTATAACTGGTTGGTGGTTTCAACCCCTCTGAAAAATAGTAGTCAGTTGGGATTATTATTCCCAATATATGGAAACATAAAAAAAATGTATGAAACCACCAACAAGATAATCAATTAATTAATTCATTAGCAAGAGCGTATAATCATTTCTGCAACCGTCAAAGCAGCGCACTGATTCTATACGTCGTCAATTTCTGTTCGGCTGCTCCAAAAAAAGATCCCTCTTGCTCCACACACAAAAACATGTATCCCCCATTTACCTCAATGATTTTCCCAGCGAGAAAGTTTCATTAAAAAAAAAACAATTGCCATCTTTGTTGACTACCAGAGGGTGCTTCTCTTCATACAATCTCTTGGCAAAAAAACATCGTTAAAGTGGGTAAAACAATGCCATTTTTACCACCCATGACTGAGAATTTTAAACATACCACCTATTAAAATGGTGATGACTGGTGATGACTGGGGGATGGTTTATGGCATTGGTTTACCCACATTACATGATATTTGTCATGTCGATCTCGTCACCATCATCGATCTCGTCACCATCGGACCTCATCCCTCATCTGGGACGAGTTGCAACGAAAATCGCAGTTTGGTGGGCTTTGAGTTCAACTGAAAGCTAGTCAGATTGATTCAATGTGGGGCCCCCTAGATAGCTAAGTTGGTTTAATGACTATGGTTTATAAACCAACTTATAACTGGGGGGGGCCACATTGATGTCATATTAGGGGGGTTCTTAGGACTTGGGGTTCCCCAACGTCACCTGCAGGTTGTCTCAATAGTCACCATGGTTGTTAACCAATACTACGTCATGGTCATCCATGACTTATATCTGGTTGGTGGTTTCAAGCATCTTGAAAAATATGAGTTCGTCAGTTGGGAAGGAGTATCCCATATATGAAACGGAACACTAAAATTCATGTTGCAAACCAGCAACCAGTATATGATTTGGGGGCCCCATGACTATTTGAGATTGGGGTCTTATCAGCCCAAAGACCACCACGCCCCCAGGGCCTCCCAAAGCCTTGCACCCAGCTCGGGGTCTGACGCCTGAGGGGGTGAGATTTTGCCGTAGACAATGGATGGTTCTACAAGATTGTACCCCCCCCAGTTATAAATTGCTTTATAGACCCCATCAACTGCCGAGACATCTACCATAAATCCTAGTTAGGTCCTAGATAACCTACTTATAAAATCTTATAAACCAACTTAGCTAACTATTAAGCACCTTGTAGATTGCCTAGTGGTTGTTCAGCACACGGAACCCACTTGTATATAATGAGAATATCTGAAAGGGCCTACAATTCTTCACCCAATTGAATCGAAGTGGGGATTCCTTCATTAAATTTGAAATTGGCAGCTTGAATTCAGGCCAACAATAACACTTGTTTATCTTTCAATGTTCCATCACCTATGCAGAAGTCCCTTCGGGTGGGGTCATTGTCTCAAGCTGAATGATTTCTAAGACATTGGAGGTATAAACCATGCTAGTTGATTTTGAAAGCGTGTGTCATGGGTATCATCGCGTGTGTTCATCCGCAAGATCCACAAATTGATCCCAAGGAGTCAGCAGAATTCTGATTGCTACTTCTCAGGATTTGATTGCCAGCGAGCTTGCCATTCCAATCTCCCATGATTTTTGTGCCAGCTTCAGTCACAGTCAAACATCCACTAAGGGTGGGACGTCTTCATGCATCTCAGCGATTTGCATGTCCTGCCAAGGGGCTTGGGGCTTCACATCTGAACAGTAGGCAACCGGACTTTCACCAACCCTTCAACAAATGCCTATAGTGGGATGACGGGCCGCCAAGCATGGTGAACTGCCCCTGTTCAAAGGCACCTTTGCCAAGCACTCCGGTCATGCTTTTCTGGCTGGGATGCAAAACCCATGACGTGATTCCAATTTGCTGAAGGGTCCAGCCACCCGGCTTTCTCCTACAAAATCAACAACGAATAATCTAACTACCCTCATCTAAAATAATATAGATGTGGTTTACACCCCGAAAACCATGGAAATTTCATTATAAACAATCTGTTTTTTTTGTTTTTGTATGCTTACCCTTGGTATACAGCCATTAGAATGAATGCACCGCTCATCACCCTTCATTTTTTCCACTGTGGTTGAACTAAATTATGTCCAAAAAATGTTGCTATCGGATTGCCGGCCAATGAAGTCGATCAGACCTGTGCCCAGCAGGGTCACCACCAACGTCGTCTCATGCTGGTTGGCTGCGACACCGTCAGCAAGTCAAAAGGCTCATCCCAAGCTGTCCAGTGTCCAGGTGAGGCAACATCAGTTGATGCCTTTGGCACTTTGACCGGGTACACAATGTCAAGTTCCGGTGTTGTGGCCAGATGCCGAGAAACTCCAGGGTGCGCATCTATTTAAAAAACACTCAAAGATATGTTAATTAGCGTATATAATTCTTATTAACTTATAGATTTACTCGATCTATAGTATTATAGATAATAATATATATATATATATAATTATATATACATAATTATACATATAATCATAATATATATATATATATATTATGTGTTCCCCCTATGATCTTTCCAGAATCGACATTGTGCGCCCGGGATCCTCCCAGACCCGCCGGAGCGTCTCCTGAAAGTATTCGCCCCCCGATTGGTCCAAGCCACCGTCAGCGCCCGCCGCAAGAAAGACTTGGCCTCGGCGGTCAAGCGATGTAAAACGTGGCTTGATACAAAACAGAGCTATAGATGTATACCGTTAAATACCACAGTTGCTAAATTTTGGTTTATGTAAAAATATATTTATCTACATTTACTATGGTCTATGTTTGTAGGTTTCCACCAATTATTGCAGTTTTGTGTTCCACATTAGCGAACTATGGTGCACTACCTGGCTCTGCGGTTTCCGGAGACTCTATATACAGGGTGAATCGCTTGCCAATCATCCGTTGGTACCAGATTTGTTCCAACGAAAACCACATCCGCCACTCGAACTATGGAGCAAAGCAAAATTGACCCGTGGATTATGGACAAAGGTTTGTGCAAGCTCTTGAAATGCATACATTTTGCTGGTCATCGCAAAGCCTATGACTTTTGTGAGCATTGACCGTTGACCCAATCTCAGATGCTTCCCAATTCCATCAGGAGAAAAACACAACACCATCAAATGCCAATGGGCATCAACGGGTCAAAATCACATATATGGTACAATGTGGGCCCCCCAAGTTATAAGTTGGTTTATAACCTACTTAGAAGATGTTAGAAGTATCATAAACGTTATTGGAGTTACAAATATAAACTAACTAGTTATAACCTAAGTTAGCTATCGTAAACGGGGGCTAACTTAGCTATCGTCAACGGGGGCCCCACATTTTTTCGCGATGTTCTTTCGGACATCATTTCTGGTCAGGATGGTTACCGACAAAAGTCCCATCCTCCTGTCAGAGGTTTGTACCACCTAATGTTGGACCCCAAAACAAACACATCCAATAGCAATACTAAATAACGGTTTCAAACAAGGTGGTGTTTAGATTTTTTTTTTTCGATGCATATCATTTGTTTTTAACGTCCATGAACAGGTCCCAATGTTAGCAGCATCATTGGCTACAGTTGTCATACGAATATGATCGAATATGGATGTTTCATGAAACTGAGGTACCTCAAACCATCGGTTTTATAGTGAACATCACAAGTCTTGGATTTGTTTAACGTCCCCCCTTTTGAGAATCACCAAACATTCTTGGTAGATATTGATACTTGTGTGTGGGTGGAGTTCTCACTAATAAGTGGTATATATTAAACCATAGTTGTGGGGCTTATATTTCATATATAAACTTATGGAGGTTAGAAATCCCAAAGTTATACCATGTTATACCTAGCTATGGAGGTTATTTCTTACCCTAGTTGTACCTATTTTTTTCCACCCCTGGTACCCCTGGTCGTAGGGTGGCAGCGGTGGCACCACTTGGGAGTTCCAGCTATTGGCACCACGGGGAACGGGGCGAAGCATTCCCCTGGCAGCCTGCGATAGCGGCCAGCTGCACCATTGGCGACCATTGGCTTCTACTCTGATGTAAGGCATGCAGGTGATGTAATGGTACGTAATAGTATGTAATGGTATGTAGTGGGACAAACAAATAGTGTTCCATCAACATATATACTGTTTTTTTTCTACATCAGCAACCTCAGTATTTTGTGCCAGGAAATTCTTGGGTGAATAATTTATGGATGGGTGAGTTCTTCAACCGAAATCTTGGTGTGGCATCAGACTTTCACGGATGAAGATCTGATATAAAGTGGGGCCCTCCAGGTATAGGTTGGTGTAGAACCCGATTGACTATAGGTATATCAGCACTAGGTCCCCGATAAATATCCATGAACCCTACTTAACCAAGCTATGAATCAGCTTGGCTATCTAGAGGGCCTCACCTGAACGTTATCTGGAAGTGGATGTGTCCGTGATAACTCCTCTTTTGTTGATGAAAAAACCGTCAAACTCTGGTAATTCTGGTTGGCCGTATCTCCACTCCCATCTACCCTACTGCTGGTGGTTTTATTTCTACTGGCTACATCCAGAAATGTCGTTTAGCTATCGGCATACGCTGGAAGTGTGTGTTCCTTGATGGGAAACCAGTCTAAATGGGAAAAAATGATGATACATCAATATTGGATTTGCGTGGTTCCCTATTAGTGTCTAGATCAAACCTCCTCTAGATTACCAATATCTATATATTGATCATTGCAATAGTCATTGAACAACAAAAAGATAGATAACTAAATCATATCTAATACAATATATATATATATATATACAGTATATATATATATATATTATATCGTTGTAATAGTCTGGACCAACAAACAAAAAGATACTAGAACTACATTATATTTATCTACTGTTTTAACAGGATGTTATTTGTATGCAGTTTCACGCAGAGAGCAGTCGAACCCAGACTCCTGATCTGGCTGTTGGAAAGGGTGAAAAAATACAGTACAATTTGAGATGTTTACTCGCTGGTTCTTTGACATAGTTATAATGTCATATAATTGTCATGGAAAATGGATGAACATGGCCCATTTAGTTCGATGATGATCATTTACCTATGACTTTGATGGTGATTTTTCCATAGCTACGTTCAATTGCTCTAGTGGGGTATGTTTTTTTTGGGTTGCTATACCGCAGATGGGTTGCTATATCCACCGCAGATGCCCCACTTCCGGCTTCACCCCTTTGCTTCCCGTTGACGCCTGAAGCAGGGCTTGGATTGGCGCAGCATATTTGGAGTACGTCACCTGCCGAGTTAGGCCAGAAACGGAAGAGTCGAAGCATCCCGAGGTGTCTGAAGATGAGGTAATTCTACCTCCCCAAAAAATTTAAATGGATAAACAAAAAACATGATAAACCATCAAATTTAGGGCATACCCCATTTTCAGAACCCATTTTCGGTCTCTTTTATCACTACTTGTTCTTTAAGGATTGTGTTGATTGGCCCGTATCCACATCAACTGTTGGATTTCACCAGTTGGTGCTACCCAAGACTTCATCAAGAAAACACCATTTGCATGGTGTGGGAGCAGCTCCGTCTCCCACATTTTGTCCTTTTTTTTTAAAGATGACCCTCCGGTAAGCAAACGTAGCAAAATTAAAAAAACACCATTGATAGAGGATTTGTGCAATAACCTCCATGGTCTATTGATATATATATATATATATGAGTTTCCGTCGCCATGTTTGATGACCTGAGAGTAGTCATTCTTATGATGATGGTATATTTAATTAATATGTTCTCTTGTGCTTGAACCTATATTTTCCACGGAATAGCTGAATGATTGCTGCTAGTTCTCGGTGTTCCATCAAATCTCCCCATCAGGTTTCACCATGAAATCACCCTTTTTGATGGTCAGATCCCCAAGTTTGCTGTGTGAATCACCATGAGAATCGTGTAAAAGTGCGGGAAGTACATTGATCAAATGGTCTGTAAATATTGTAAAATCACCAATCAACTCGTCAAAATGGTCACCTGCCCCCTTTTTTTGCCGTGCAAAATCTCCGTCCACGTGTCCCGTCGAGCGTCACCTCCAAAGGTTCGTCCTTCCCAGAGACCACATAGCGCGCCAGGTCTGTGGCGCAAAGGCCTGGCCGTTTTTTTGGGTGCTGGATTTTTTTGGGGATATTATTGTTGTATAATATCCATAAGTACCATAAGTATGGATTATTATATAATAGCTGGATTTTTTTATGGATTATATACTTATGGATTATTGTTGGATTATTATTGTTCTATCATATCCATATATGATTATCCATAAAATATCCTAATAGGTATATTCGATATATCATGAAATATATCCTATAACCCATATGCGACCCATGGTGCTGGTATATTTACCTACAAAACTGGGTGATTTTGTTTGGGCACATGTTGGTAAATATGTCATACATATAGCCATGTTTGATTTCTGGTAAACTAACAGTTTGCGAAGTGGAAAATAAATGAAAATTACAATCTTTGGTAAATCAACGAAGTAAATGTATCGAAATGTGCCATGGCTGCCATGGCTTCAATAGCTGTTAGTCATTACCTGGTAGATGGACAGTGGGAAACACAAAAAAAATGGATGAAGTTGGTGATTTTTAAGCCTCGTTAATAGATGAAGTTGATGATTGAAGATATTGAAGTTGGTGATTTCTTGAAAATGACCACCTAAACTCAAAGTTTCTAGCTTTCCAACTTTTCTGGTTTGGGTTTGCTATAGATGCTCTATCTGGGTTGAAACCATCTCTCCGCATTGTTTCAATATCCTCACTTGACATCCTGACCACATCTATGTTTGTTGTCTACGCATCAAAATCGCATCCTTGTGCAACCAGTGGCGACATCAATGCCAATGTTTTGGTCAACGGGCCGGGGATGATTGCTGGCCAGCAATCACCACAGGTGCCCGAGGTCGGAATCGCTAAGTGGCACATAACTCCAATAACTCCAATGGCTTTATGGTAGATGTATCGAACTAGTGACTATCGGTTTATAAACATACCAGGCACTACAGTACCTTATAGGTGGCCACACATATCTTAAAATGTCTTATCCATTGTTATATGTCTATAGTTATTTCACCATTTGTTCACCATTTCGTTTTCCAAACAGAATGCCTTTGCTCACCATTTTTCCAAATGGAGGTTTCCTAAGTCATGATGATATAACAAACCCCAGGCCATATAGATATAACTAACCAATACATATATAATATAAATGATCATAACCATCTATATGGTAGGATGGCAATATTACCAGGATGATATATATATATATGCATAATCTAACAATTTTAAACATCATATTTTTCCCATATAGTATATAATATATATATAATAATAATATATATATTATATATAATAATATATATATATAATAACATATATATTTTCTAATATATATATATATACATCATATAAGTGATCATAATCAGATCTGAGAGGCGCCGTCCACCCGTTGGGTGCGCCGCGGCGCCTGGATGCAGCGACACCGCTGACGCCTTGGTCCCAGCGGCCCGGAAGCGACGGTCCAACTCCTGCGGCGTCCACGGTCCACGGGTAATACGTGCCCTATGGATCCAGCCGTACCTTCTTAGGATGTGTCTGGGGTATGATAGTGATCCACCATATATACATCAATAGATATATATATATATAATGATATATATATACAATAATATATATATATATTATATATATAATATGATTGTGAATTATCCCATTGCTTACGGATCCAAGTACCTTCTGAGGGAGTGCTTGAGGTATGATTTAAGGTGTTAAGTAGCTTCTCAGACAGTGTTTAGATCCATACGGATGTTATAACTCATCTCTATACTGAAATAATCAGAAAATATAACATGTTAACCTATAATTTATGTACCTGGTGAGTGTTCCTGGGCTTAGTTACAATATAATTAATCCATGTTGTTTTTTTCTCGTGGGGATATCGTAAACCAACAAACATCACCGGTGCACACCACCTTTCAGTGATGCTTGTCGGTTTAAAGTTTATGTGACCTCATCTTGCAATCTAGATATCATGGAGGTTTCCATAACTTAGGTGTGAACATATATGAAAAATGGATGATTTTGGGGTACCCCAATATGACTTATGACTCAATGACTTAGGAAACCTCCATATATCCATCATAAATCCAGGATAATCCCAGCCCAAATGAAACGTATTGGTGGAACGGATTGGATCTATTAATTCATGATTCCGGGGCCAAGGGCCGTTTCGAGAGGCCTATTAAAAAAAAAAAATGGGAGATGCGATTCTATAGAAATTGGATTTGTAAACGGAAATCAAGAAGGAACTGGTGCCGTGGAGAATCAGCTGAGAAAGATGATACCCTCTGGTTATTTAACATAGCCATGGTATAGATGGCCCATAGAAATAGATGGTTTACCTATTAAAAATGGTGGATCTTTCCATGGCTATGTTAGTCATAACCAGATGGTATTCAAACCTTTTGGCTTGTGACTGGCATGGCTTTGGAATCTGATGAAAATATACCGGATCTTATGGCCTGGAGCGGGTACAAATTAATCACATCTATCATCATAGAAACCTGTTGTTTTTCAGGGCTTTTGCTTCAGAACCCCTCTTCCTCTTTTTTCATCAACCAACCAATGGGAATTTGGGACATCTATGGATTGAAGTGTTTTCTGCTACTGGCACCCACATCGGCGCTCGTGTTGGATCATGTTGAACCCACCTAGAAAAGAAGTATTCGTGTGACTCATCTGGCTATTCCCATACGTTGGTTATTATATCATTATTCTTTGATTATGAATATTGATTTTTTTTAATACTAATTATATGATATATTTCTATGATCATCATTATTAATATTAGTGTTATTATTGTTATTACAAATCATTGTTGTTATTATTGCTATTATTATTTTGATTAATTATTATTATTATTTATTATACATTTATAGCTGTATATCTAATATTATCTAGTCATGTATGTTGCTACTCAGCTTTATGTGTTGCACCCAAGTCTACTATGTGATATATAAAAAAAAATATATGTAGTTCAGCCTTTTAAAACATGTCAACGGATGATAATCACGTTGGCCTTGGCAAACATCACGTTGGCCAACTTGGAGTCGCTATATGCCGCCCAGGCATTGTAAGACGCCAGAGCCACATCTGGGGACTCGAGCTCCTAGCAACGGTACGTTCCAAAATGTACCCATGGGTCAAATCCCCATACAAGGTGGTGCCCCCCCAGTGATGTGAACGTTGGTTTATACACCCCATTAACTATAGATATATCTATACCATAAACCATAGTGAAATTGGAGTTATGTTCACCAACTTAGCTAATTATGGGGCACCACCTTGTACGATCCCTGTTTTTCTCTAAAAATGGTCAGTTTTGGCAAAAGTCATGAGCTCCACAGAACTTCCTAATTGGTGCAAAATCCCAGTTTCAGTTCAGTGGCAAACACTTCCATTTTAATAACCATGGAACTCGCAATTTCAGGTGGAAAACTCAAAATTTATTGGTCAAAATTACCACAGTCATGGCTCGAAATACCAGTTCTAAGTCCAATGAACTATATAACTCTATTTCTGGAATGATAACCCCATCACAAAAACCTTGAAAAACATACAAAATCCACTGGTTTCTAGGGCTTTTTTCCTCCAAGTTTCATGGGTCAAAGTCCAAGTTCTTCGGGTGGAAAATCCCTGAGATCCGGATCTCCTGGAGAAGCCTGTCCGCGGAGCCCAAGCGATGCGCCAGGCTGGACACGCAGACCACCCGCGCACTGCGCCCACCGCGGCCCAGGAGAGGTAGCAGATGACCGCAGAGGGCGAAGTGGCCCAGGTGGTTCACACCCAACCTCTGAGTTTGGTGGAGTTTGATCTGAAAAAATGGGATTGACAAGGTGATTTCAAAGTGATCTGAAGGGGGTTGATGTGGGATTTATCATAAAAATGGGTGCAATGAAGGTTTCACCATATATACATCAATATAGTTATGTATGATTGTGAATTATCCCATTGCCTACGGATCCAAGTACCTGCTGAGTGCTTGGGGTGTGATTCAGAAGGTGTTAAGTACCTTCTCAGAAAGTGTTTGGATCCATAGGGACCTGGCGTTGCTGTCCCTGCCATTTCAATCCATAGGGATTATATAATTATCTCCATGATTGGTTTTATATTCCAGGATTACAACAAATTACCATTCATGGTTATATCATATATCTATTCTAATTATTAATATAATAATATTGGATAATTAACATGATCATCAACTTTTGGCAGGCATTTTTCCATGGAGTTTGATATGGCAAATAAACCAACTCACCTACTGTGGATCCCTATAAGCTGGACCACTGGACCATAAGTGGCTAGAAATGACCCCCATGATATAGATACATCAAAAAATATCCATAAACCCAACAGATATTGGAGCTATGTCTACCAACTTGGCGATCAAAATTGATTCATATTGATTTATCACTAGATATTACCCTCTGGTAAACATACAAAAAACTATGAAACATGGCCATTGAAATAGTGATTTGTCCCATTAAAAATTGTGATTTTCCATGAGGGTATATATGATGGGTATATTTCATGTAAAAACCCAGGAAACAATAATACCTTGTATGACTATTTTCACATGATTATTCTCAAAACGTGATATCAGTTGTTGTAAACAACTTACCACCTTCTCGACTAAATTAACCCAGACCCAAAATGAACTTCTGGGTTAATCCGATATTTGACATCTTTGGGTTTGCAATTGTTGTGGTCTTGTAACGGCAGTTGCAATGATTGTGCCTATGCCATTATATGCCATTATGTTTGTCATAGCTGGGAGTTCCAGATTCAGTAGGTGGAAGGCATTTTCATCAACAATGTCGCAATATGTTGCAATTACTTGTTGTTTCACCTCGCTTCGGAAGTAGGTTGCGCATGTTGCTACAACCATTTGGAATACTGGTTACCACCTTCATTCCCAAATAAATATATGCCTAGACACTGCAAGTGCGAGTACGTCCCAAAATGGGGTAATCGAAGAACTTGTACCCATTCTCATTCTCAACTCTTTGGGTCAACATCCCTAAAACCTCTTACCATTCTCATGCCCCAAATCCATCAGCCCTGACTAAAATCTATAGAAAATCGACTTTCCCCCATCCCCTTTGACCATCTTTGACCTCCCCGTGCTACTCTCCAGTAATCTAACCCCCCAGTTGGGTCGCTGCATTTCGAAGCCATCCAAGGTGAGGCAGCGCTGCGGTACAGCCATGACTCCCGCGTTGCAGATGACCACGTCGAGGCCCGTCCTGGAGCTGCCGGCGGGTTTCACCAGGATGAGGCCCCTCAGTGATGGAACGTTGGTTGATAACCCCATCTAAGATATACCTGCTAAACTAAATTTCGTATGAAGGTACTTGGATCCGAGGCAATGAGATAATTCAGAAGGATAATTCACAATCATATATAGCTAGATAAATGCTAAATATCTAGATATACCTGCTAAACCTGAAACCTCAGAATTTCGAGGTTTCATGTTTACCAGGTAGTTATTTGCGTATCAAACGCTCTTGTTAGCTGACTGTTTTTTTCCCCAACCTAACGGGTTTCACCAGATTTCAGTCAACTAATATTGAAGCTGATTGAAGCCATGCAAAATGGTAAATCATAGGGGAATTCACCAGCAAAAACCATGGGAACCATGGGGAATTTAACATGCTTTAAGCATCCACAAATAGAGAGTTCAAGGAATGAATAGCCATGGCTGAAGTTAGATGAGCAACGAGCTGAGGCACCACCTTGCACTTACCCTTATTGTCTTTCGCCCATGTTCGCCATATACCCCGGGGCATCCCGGGGCTCCCCGGTCCCTGCGAGCAGGTGCTCACATTGACTGGCGAAGTCCCGAATACTTTGCAGGTTCGCTAGGTCCAGTCTCAGCAAAGGAATGCAACGCGCAGTCTGAGGTCGAAATCCTGTGCTGTTCTCTAGATTATTGCAACAAAATATAGGACTCCTTTCTGAAAGCATCCCCATCCAACAATTGATGTTACACTTTATATCCATTTGATTGCATCCTTGAAACGATATTGCAGGCCAAAATTTTGTTCATGGTTCTCTGCCAAGCACCCACGCACTCAGGCGTTTTTTTTGTTTCAAGTCTTTTTTATTAACCCCCGACGTTGGAAAAAAAAATAAGATCATATATTGGCTTTACACAATTATCATAATAACATATAATCCCACCTTTTTCGTTGGTGAAATGACACGATTTCCTGGTCGAATCCTCAAATTTGCGACAGGTCCGCACAAGAATGACGAACAACAAACACATGATGATTGCAAAAACACATATCTAAAATTCAGAACTCAACATGTTAAACATCTAAGCTCAGATCAATATTATAACATCACTAACCTTTTAAGGAGGGGGGGCGTACCCAAATTGCAAGACACAATTTAGAGGTTTTTGAGGGAGGTAGTTCTGTTAAATGTTGGCAAGCATTTATTCTTTTAACTGCGTCTTATTTGCAAGATTTCATTTTAGTAGGTCCCCTCATTCTTTACGGGACTTCATTTATTTTCTTAAAAAACGCAGGGGGGCGTTCAATATTGTCCATTGCATTAAAAACAAAAAATGTAAGAAAATGAAAAAACAAAATGTAAAAAAATAGTGTGAAGGTCTGCAAATAGCTGCAGAATTGCAGACAATCAAAAATGCAAACTGAAAGTGCGTAGGTCCCCAATTGCCTGGTATTTCCAATACATTCTACACTTGTTCTACACCTTTTTTATAATTTCCACATGTAATATAGAGGTATAGAAGGTATATTATTCCTTGCAAATTACTGGAAAATCCTGGAACTTCAAATAAATGTAAAATTAGATGTTGAAGGTCTTCAAATTTACCTCCTACCTATGGAAAAAAACACAATAGAATATAAATAAAGATCTCAAAAGGACCTCAAATGGACCTCAAAAGGACCTCAAATGAACCTTTATGGGGTCCCCATGGTAAATCCCCTTTATGTACCTACATGATCGAACTTAAACACCCTTCTGCCACGGTTCCTATCCAGCCCCCTTTATGACCCTCCAACCATAATATCATAACAATCCCTAATAATCCCTAGACATGTGTCATGTTGATTCTGAAAGGAACTGTGGGAACCTGAGGTGTAGGATGGTTACATCTTTCAATCTTAGCTTTGCCTTCTTTTTCGAGCACTTTCTGCAAGGAATCATAGGCCTCAGGTGTAGTATGGTTACATTTGTCTATTTCATGTTTGCCTTCTTTTAAGCACTTTCTGCAAGGAATTAAGGACCCCAGGTGTAGGATGGTTACATTTTTTTTGATCTCCCTTCTTTTTTAAGCACTTTCTGCCAGGAATTATAGGCCTCAGGTGTAGCATGGTTACATTTTTCTATCTTAGTTTTACCTTCTTTTTCGAACACTTTCTGCAAGGAACTATGGACCTCAGACATAGGTTGATTACATCCCCACAAAGACACCTCACAAACAGTTTACAAACTGCTTGCGGACATTTAACAATTTTTACCTCCCCCCACCCCCCCTATCCGTAGAGTACCGGGGCGGGTGGTTCTGAGGGGGGTACGGGGTGACGTATCTCTTGCGGACTTTCCACCCTCTCACTAAATGTAAATCTTCCGGGGCACGGTTTTTGACGTAGGAGGGGTCTAAGATACATATAGCCTTCCCCATCGGGAAAAAATACGCAGGGGTCAAAATTGTTGCTTACATTTTTTGAACGCCCCCCTTGCTTACGCCCCGCGAAAAGGGTGGTGATATTATAACAACCCAAAGCCTCTCAACAACAAAAAAAACCTACTAAAATTAAGTCTGGATGGTTATTGACCTACCCCTCTGACAAGTATGACTTCGTCAGTTGGGATGATTATTCCATTCCCAACTGTTTCTGGAAAGTCAAAGAGAATTCCATGGTTCCAGTCACCACCAACCAGAAATTATAGTGGATTTACCCATTCAAAATGGTGGATCTTTCCATAGTTATGTTAGTTTTCCAGAGGGTATATATACCAGCCATAATATTCCCATGATACCACTAGTTAATCCCCATTAACCAGCATTAATCCCCATTAATCCCAGATGGGAATCCCAGAAATGGTAAATCGCCTTGTTGCCGTGGCACCTCAGCACCTCCATCTCCTCCGTGTCCAGCTCCTTTCGCAGGGACGACAACAGCTGCTCCTCCCCGCTGCGGCAGGTCACCAAGACGCGAGCACCGGCCTCTCGAAGCTGCGGCCGAAATCCTAGAGAAATGGCTGGGTCAAGCATCAACCATGCTTCAACCATGCTTCAACCATGCTTCAACCAGAAAATCCCTGGTTTGTGGTAAATTTGTGGGAAATGGTTGTAAGACACTTCTTGAAGACATGCAGAAACTGCGAACAAAATGTGCTTCACCACGCCTCAGCGAGGCGCAAAGCGGACTCAAAACCCAGACCAGAGGAGCCGCCTCCAAAATGATCCACAGAAATCTGGACCAAAGATTTCTTGGTCAAATCTGCTTTTGTATTCTTGATCTTGTGCTTTAGATTGAGATGATTTTAGACTATATGTGACCAGATCGTATTTTATTCATGGGTTATGTTTGTTGTTGTTATGTTTTGTTTCTATGCATTTTGAATGTACGATGATGTTCGAGACCTTCTCGACAGCTGCTGAACATGGTGAATTTCATAAGAGTCCTCTGCCCTTTATATGTGTGAAATCACGTGAAATCGCAGTTTGCTGAACCCCCCATCATCTACTATCATTTATCAAATATTATCAGATATAATTAATTAGTATCACTCCCTATAGATTCCCAGTGGATTTTCAATGATTTTCAGATACCAAGTCCACTCACAACAAATCCCATCAGACCAGGGGTAGATCGCAGACCCGGCCTGTGATCAGCACGGTCCGGTTTTGCAGCGAGCCCGGCTGCAGCTGGAACTCCTCCGGACCGTCGATGAGGGCTTTCAGCTGTCGCAGACCCAACAAAGCGCCGGCCTGACGAAAAGCAGCTGATTTCAAGGGAATCTTGAGGAATCTTGAGGAATTTGATGGGATTTGATGGGATTTGATGGGATTTGATGGGATTTGGAGATGTCATGGGATTTGATGGAAGTTTCATGGGATTTGATTGTTTTTTTTTGTGGAGGTTTCATAGGATTTTATGGAGGTTTCATGGGATGCAAAAAGGACATTCTGTCGATTTTTCAGTTGGGACTTGGTTACACCCCAATCTCCATGGCTTGCGGGCAGGATACTGCAAGGAGCCAGGGCACTCCTGCCTCAAGGTCCTCAGGTCATCGACATTTTTGAGTTTTTTTTTCAAACATGGTTAATGATATGGTTAATGATATGGTTAATGATATGGTTAATGATATGGTTAATGATATGGTTAATGATATGGTTAATGATATGGCTAATGATATGGTTAATGATATGGTTAATGATATGGTTAATGATATGGTTAATGATATGGTTAATGATATGGTTAATGATATGGTTAATGATATGGTTAATGATATGGTTAATGATATGGTTAATGATATGGTTAATGATATGGTTAATGATATGGTTAATGGTATGGTTAATGATATGGTTAATGATATGGTTAATGATATGGTTAATGATATGGTTAATGATATGGTTAATGATATGGTTAATGATATGGTTAATGATATGGTTGGTTAATGATATGGTTAATGATATGGTTAATGATATGGTTAATGATATGGTTAATGGTATGGTTAATGATATGGTTAATGATATGGTTAATGATATGGTTAATGATATGGTTAATGATATGGTTAATGATATGGTTAATGATATGGTTAATGATATGGTTAATGATATGGTTAATGATATGGTTAATGGTATGGTTAACAATATATGGTTAATGATATGGTTAATGATATGGTTAATGATATGGTTAATGGTATGGTTAATGATATGGTTAATGATATGGTTAATGATATGGTTAATGATATGGTTAATGATATGGTTAATGATATGGTTAATGATATTGTTAATGATATGGTTAATGATATGGTTAATGATATGGTTAATGATATGGTTAATGGTATGGTTAATGATATGGTTAATGATATGGTTAATGATATGGTTAATGATATGGTTAATGATATGGTTAATGATATGGTTAATGATATGGTTAATGATATGGTTAATGGTATGGTTAATGATATGGTTAATGATATGGTTAATGATATGGTTAATGATATGGTTAATGATATGGTTAATGATATGGTTAATGATATGGTTAATGATATGGTTAATGATATGGTTAATGATATGGTTAATGATATGGTTAATGATATGGTTAATGATATGGTTAATGATATGGTTAATGATATGGTTAATGATATGGTTAATGATAATGGTTAATGATGGTTAATGATGGTTAATGATGGTTAATGATGGTTAATGATGGTTAATGATGGTTAATGATGGGATGGTTAATGATGGTTAATGGTGGTTAATGATGGTTAATGATGGTTAATGATGGTTAATGATGGTTAATGATGGTTAATGATGGTTAATGATGGCTAATGATGGTTAATGATGGTTAATGATGGTTAATGATGGTTAATGATGGTTAATGATGGTTAATGATGGTTAATGATGGTTAATGATGGTTAATGATGGTTAATGATGGATAATGATGGTTAATGATGGCCAATGATGGCTAATGATGGTTAATGATGGCTAATGATGGTTAATGATGGTTAATGATGGTTAATGATGTTTTTGTCAAGAAAGATGTGAGCCATTCAAAGTAGCCTGCTGAATTGATGAATGTAAGGACCTAGTAGTAAACTCTCTAATCCCTAAGTCTTTATTGGTGATAATTGTAAGCCAGGCCTTAGGGAAACCTATCAACCAACTAGTATGGGGATTTCCTAACATTGGGGGGTACACCCAAACCATCCAAGTCATTAGACCATTTTAGTATTGAAACATTTTTGACCATTTTAGTATTGAAACATATTAGACCATTTTAGTATTGAAACATATTAGACCATTTTAGTATTGAAACATATTATAATATTTAAACCCATGGTGACTTGGGGTGCCTCCATTTTAGGAAATTTACAATGAACAGATGTGACCACGTGGATTTTGACGTGGAACATCTCCAGGTTGGGCCCCAAGGGGGGCCACAGCTATCTGGGATCACTCGGGCGCTTATGGTAGATACACAGTGACTTTCGTCACATGGCTAAAGGTAAAGCCAACTTATAGCTGGTTGGTGGTGCAATAACCATCTTGAAAAACTATAAGTTCGTCAATGGAAAGGATGACATCCCATATATTGTGGAAAATAAAATTCATGTTCCAAACCACCAACCAGTATAGCTGGGGTGTTCCACATCGTGGGGTTGCTGAGTGTGGGAACATTTGGCGACGAGTCAAGTCGGTGAGGTGCCAATCGAATCAATACGTATTGGTCATCTCTAATGTTCAAACCATCATTAGTGTTTTTTTCCTGCATCTGGGGTATATACCCCAAAAATGTAATGGTCTAGTATACAATCTTTTCAGATCCAAATGGCAACTTTGGGCTATGAAAAGGCCTTTTTCGACAAGCTCATCTGAGGATTTTTATGGAACATGACAAGTTCTCCATCATCGGGATCAAGCTGAAAGTCACAAACCATCATTTTGATCATGTTACAAACTAACATCCATTGTTGCAATACTAACATGTTCTTGATGTTTTTTGATTTTTCCATCCACTGGTTGACCATCATTGGGATCAATCCTTTCTCGATACAGATCCATGATCTCCATCGAATAAACCCCGCCAGAGTTGTCGATCCGCACGAAAATTGCCATGGCCACAATCAATTCTCATCCAGGAATCCACATGATCAGCAAGGCAAAAAAAAACATACTGTATCACATACAGAAACAACATCATTCACTATATATAGTTCTCTGATGTTCCGACAAAAAACAGCTCCATCTTCCGAGAAAAAACAGCTGCAGCTCTCATCATTTCCAAGGTTCCGAATCCGGCACCGAGACATCGAGATCCAGGTTGGAATGCACCGAAAACCCCGCGCGGCGCAGCACTCGACGTCCACTAGGCCCATGCTGCCTGTCCAGGTGGTGCTGGCCGTTCAAGGAATAGGTCTGACCGAGATTGGTGGAGGAGGTTTGAATTTGTTTAAGCACCAAAAAAAAAGGATAGAAAAACAACATCCCATTAAAATAGTAATGAATTACTCGTCTATTTTTTGGGGGGTGACCAGTATGATACTGGTTTCTGTGAGAATTCCCCTTGGCCATCTTTGACGCCGCAAGGTATATCCAGCTAAGCCTCCATGTATGTTATTTCTATGGTAAGCATTGGTAACCTATGTGGTGTAAACGTTCTAGTGGTTACCCTCTGGTAATGACTAATATAGCCATAGCTATTGAAAATGGCCATTTATAGTGAGTTTTCCCATTAAAAATGGTGATTTTCCATAGTTCTGTTAGTTTACCAGAGGTTAAATCATTGTGAGTCCTTATTTTGTCATGATTCATTAAATCACCTTAACTCCCATTCAACCACTAGAATCACTAGAAGGTCCTGAAAAAACATCGCTTGAACTGGACCCATGTTCAACCCCAAACCTACAATTCAAATCCTTAGTTCCCATTCATCTTAGAACCCCATGATCATTGACTTCCGTGAAGGTCCTTTTTTCGATTTCTATGGTAATGTCCTAAGTCATAGGGCTACCCCAGTCATCATCCGGCGAGCTTGGGGTATCCCCATGGCGAAACCCCCATGGCTTTGGATCTTCCCGTCGTGAATCTCCATGGCCTGGGAGAAGGCCACAGGGACCAGGCGACACTCCTGGGCCAAGCAAGGTGGCCCAGCAAAAAAAAACAAACATTCTTTCACCATGAAAAAATCATGGGTTCACCATGAAAAAACAGTTTTTTTTTACAAAACAGCAAGACATAGTGATAAATGCTGATTTAGCCATCAGACATAGTGGATTTAGGCAATGAGCCATTGAGAGTGGATCCGTCTGAAAATGGGGCAGTATACGGAAGGGAAACTGATGATCAACCATCAAGTTTCTAGGGTACGAAATTGTCGGACTGTCGATAACTTCTACGATCTTTTGGGATGGCTCCAAGGACTATGTTTAATTACTGCAACGACACGTAAATAAGGATATAAATTAATAACAATGATCATTCCAGCCACAACTGGCCTGTGTTTTTTGGATTTCTTTTTTTATTTGGCATGATGAGTTTGGATGACAAATGATTGGCATAAACCACCGCCATGAAATGACTTGCCAACTGCTAACGTCAATTATAACCTAAGATCCTGCACTGGTTGAAGGATATTGAAGGGACATATTACAGGACGCCCCTATTTTTGTATTGTTTCAGTCGTGGATTTTCCAGGGAAAATTCCGATCCATTTTTTTACGAGACAATGTTTTTTTCTTCAAATAACTGCAACCTGATTTATCGTGATTGGGAGGGTCCTTACTAGCCAGTTAGATGGATGGATCGATGGATGGACAGAAAAAATAGATAGATAGATAATGAATGATATTGATTGATTGAATGATAGGTAGGTAGGTAGGTAGATAGATAGATGGGTAGACAGGTAGATAGGTGGATGGATGGCTGGATGGCTGGATGGATTGATGGAAGGATAGGTATAGATATAGATATAGATATAGATATAGATATATATATATATATATAGATAGATATAGATCTAAATTCTAAATAAATAAATATATATATATGTACATAGATAGCAGTAGTAGTCCTCAATACCTACTGAGTTGAACTTCCCAAGCAGTTCCACGGCCGCGTTCCCAAGGGAGGCACCAAAATTCCCACCCTCCACCGCCACATCTCCTGCAAAAGCAAAGCAAGCTGAGCAACAGGCTCGCAGCAACGCATCGGCGGGCTCTGCTCATTGAATGCAGATCTTCATGAAGCAATGAGGGGCTGGGGGGTCCCACCTTGCTTGGCACAACATGGTGCTTGGACCTGCACTTGGAGCATCACAAAACATGACACCCTGGTAGCTGAGTGGATTTGTGTGAAGCGACCTGCTGTTGCACTCAAATAATCAGCCAAAAACAACTATACTTAATACATATAACAACATATTGAAGCACGGTATCAATATAGTATATTCATTGAATACAACTTAAATACAACGATCTGATCAAACACAAACATACAGTTAAATACTGTAAGGTTCTAGTCATCACTCGATTATTTCGACTCTACACAGCCTACTAAGGTGCTGTCAAAGTGATTGAGTTCGGTAGGCTGATTATCCAATGAAGTAGCAAAGTCAGATCTATGGATCTTGTACAACATCATAAGCAAATTGGTACGTTGAAGCCCAATGGCTGCATGTCAGTGGCCAAATGACTGTTGCTGGTGGTTTATGTAGTGTCCCCCATTCGTACGTTCCGTGGTGCCCCTGCTCTAGTCCAGCCATTCGCATTCAATAAAGTTACTCTACTGTTTCCTTTTCCTGAAGTACCAGCTGTCCCCAACTCTGCCAACAAGCGCTACAACACCTGCAGTTCCTAGCTTTTAATCCTTTTTCTCCTTTCCAAACCTTGCTAAACCTTGCTAAACCATGGTAAACCTACATTTTTCTCCAAGAACTCTTCTGGTTGGTGGTTTCAATCCCTCTGAAAAATATTAGTCAGACTGGATCATCATCCCAACTATTGGGGAAAATAACAGCCATGTTCCAGTCACCACCGACCAGTCTTGGGCTTTTTCATCCGAAAAATTCCGGGACTTTCCCAAGCCAGTCATGGACCCATCGACTTGTCGACCTCATCATCCCCGAGGCCAAGCGCAAGGACTGTGCAAAGCCTGTAGCGCAGCTGGCTGTGTCGAAACCATAGGCCACGGGGACCCCCCAAACATCCCCGAAAAATCACATGCTTTGTCTCATGATTTCCTGGAAAATCATGGCAAATCTGTTGGGGCTAGATATATGGTTAATATATGGTTGATATGTGGTTATTATACTGTTCATATATGGTCAATATATGGTTATTATTAATGGTTAATGATGATTATTAATTTAGTACTGGTTGGTGGTTGACCTACCCCTGTGAAAAATATGAAAGTCAAATGGGATTATTGTTCCCAATATGATGGAAAAATATAAAAGTCATGTTCCAAACCACCAACCAGAGTATATCTCATTTGACAAGGAGCAGCAAATGAGTGCTGAATGATTCTGAATTGGAACAGGGTTGCCTGCATGGTTGGTGGTGGTAAGTTTGTGTTGCATGCCTGCAGCTGTTTAAGTGGACCAAATTCGATGAGCCATCCATTTCTCTGAGCCATCCACTTCAACACATCCGTTGGAATCCATGAAACCGAGCCCAAAACATCATCCATTTCTTGGTTTTGTCTGAAGATATGGTAAATTGTATGGTAACTACTTCTAAATCTACTCTGGTTGGTGGTTGACCTACCCCTCTGAAAAATATGAGTTCGTCAGTTGGGATGATGACATTCCCAATAGATGGAAAAAATAATCCACATGTTTCAAAGCACCAATCAGTACTGGTGAATCATCACGTTCCATCATTTTCCATCTGACCTTCTGGTAAACGTTTACATGAACTATGGAAAATCACATTTTTTCATGGGAAAATCAACGAACTAAATGGTCATTTTCAATAGCTTTTTAGCTATGTTAGTCATTACCAGAGGGTATATCATACTTGGATGTGCCTCCGAGTTCACACGTGGTACTCCCCAGGTGCAAGTGGAAAACATCAACCGTTTGGGCACATAACATCATTGGTTTTTAACCACTTGTGATCCCCAAAAGTTAACAAGGAACTCCAAAAATTGGGGTTGGACGATGATTTTCCTATTGAAAAAGACATGCCGGACAGCATAGGATGGTGGGTACAACCAGGCCATGTTTACCACCCATGACTGGGAATGGTAAACATAGCACCTATAAACATGGTGATGACATTGGGGATAGCATTTCCCTAGCGCGATCACCGCGTCTTCCTCCGCCCGCAAATCTGAGGTTTCCGACCACAGCCGCAGCATCACCTCAAGGGACGACTGTAGGGGGGGAAGGATGAAAAGTTGTTGGTATCTATGGCTATGTAACAAGCATAGCTATACCAGATTTATGGATATTTATGGTATATCAATCCTAGAGAATGTTATAATATGGCTATGTATTCCTGTAGTATATCAAAAAATATGTAACACATTGTATCTAGGTATTGATGCATAGCCATATCAAAAAACAGGGTGGTGCCCCCATAGCTAATAGTTAGTTAAGTTGGTTTATAAATGTCTTTTACGTCCAATAACTATGGTGAACCATAAACCAACTTCTAACCGGGGGGGAGACCACCTTGAATGCCAATTAGTTGATATGCTTAGTTGATTGGGTGTGATATTGTTGATTAATTGTCAATTAGACGGCTAGGCGTAGCTAAGTTTATGCCATGAATGGGGGATGGGATTATTATAAGATTGGTCAGTTGGTGACCAAATAATGCTCTTATATATCCATGTATACAATATATAATTATATATATATATCCATCATCATCCATCATAGTCATAGCCATGGGATTAGTTGGGGTTCCATAGAGGGATGCTCCTTGGCTTGTCTGAAAATGCGGGATACCCACGGCTAGCAACTGGTTGGTGCCCCAGTTCGGAATCGCTAAGTTGGGGTTCACATAACTCCAATTTCACTATGGTTTATGGTAGATATAACTATAGTTAATGGGGTTTATAAACCAACAAACATCACTGGGGGGGCACCACCTTGTAGCAACTGCTTGGTGGTGCGTTTTAACCATCTTGAAAAATATGATGGAGTTCGTCAAGGGGAAGGATGACATCCCATATATGAAATGGAACATCAAATTCATGTTCCAAACCACCGCCCAGGCAATTTTGCTAGGGAAAATGAGAATCATCCATTGTAATTGGGGGTGCCCTTTTTTTCAGACAAACCCACATGAGCCAACATAGGGTTTGGGGTTGGAGTTCTTTGAGAACAGTTTCCAACTTTGGAAATCCTACCCTCTCATGGGTGCCGGGTCTGCATTTCCCTGCAGCCATTTCCCACCAATGAAATGTCTTGTATCTAGGTCCTGGGTGAGCAAAGCATGCCATGCTTCCTATTCTCACACAATTATTTCTCATCACCA